CATGCGTTGGATCATAGCACTTTGATTTCTGGAGAGATCCGTGAACCTGATCATGGTTTATCAGTCAAATTACAAGTACAGAAGCTTATTCTACAAGCAACATCACATGAAAACTTGTGTCAGAATTATGTCGGGTATGACCTCCCCTATGAATAAAAATATACGTAGTAAGTAATTGGAAATTCATGCTTTAAACTGCAAGGATTACAGGAATATCTTAAAACAATGTTCACAACTTGGTACTATGATTATTAGGCCATTTTCAGTTTTGGTGCATGACCTTAATTTTTTCTGCCATGTGTACGACTATGGTCCATGCAACCATTGGTCTTTTGAGTCATTTTTCCGGCGACTACAATTTTTATTGATTTAATGCAAGAAATACATATTCGTCCATTAAAAGTGGAACAAACGGAACTGGTGGATCTGATGTCAAATTGACACAATAGTTTTGGAACCCATACTGGAATATGTTCTTTTCCAAAACCTTGAAATTAAATCATGGTCTGATCATTATCGGCCCTGTTTTTTTTTTTGCAGATGGTGTCCGTTTTGGTAGGTGAGCTGAAGAAGTGGAGGTACCTGCCTGTGTTTGTGTGTATTATTATTAAATATAGTAATTAAATGTTATGCAACTGTTGTACTAGTTAGAGAATCTGTTTTCCTGTACAGATACTTTGAGAGAAGTGATAAGATATTATGTAGGGTGAAGTAAGTCTGTTGTAAATAGTCGTTTCTGTAATCTTCCCAACGTGAAGAAGAATCTCATAGTTCACCATATATTACTTCTGTCCCGCTATGATTGTCCCGTTTTACCTTATTGGTCCGTCCCACTCAGATGGTTCCATGTAGAGGTGGATTCGGGCCGGGTGGCCCGACCCGGAACCGGCACGAGACTGGTACTGTTTCGGCCCAGCCCAGTGGCCCGGCCAGGAACCGGTCCGGGTAGGCCTGGCCCGGTGGATTTACGGTGCGGGCTCGGGTCCGCCAAATGATGAACTGACCCGGTTCCGTGCCTTTTTTTTTTCATTTTTTTTGTTTTTCAGGGTTGGGCTGGGTGTTTTGGGCCATTTGGGGTGGTTTAGAGGGTGGGGGTGGGGATGAGGGGGGGTATTAGGGGATTAATTAGAAAATTTTTTAAAAAAAGGAAGTGGCTCGAGGCCCGGCCCGGACCCGGGTCGGACCCGGTGGCTACCTGGGCCGGTCCCGGACCCAACTATTCTGAACCGGCGGCTCGCCTGGGCCTAGGCCTGACTCGGACCCGGCCCGGCCCGAGTCCACCCATAGTTCCATACCAAATTTGTCAAAGTTTGTGTTGCTCTAAATCATTCTTATTTTATTCTTACTTTATCAATTCATTATCAACCACATAAAACACTTTTTATTAATTTGTGTGTCACTCCCCCTTGTCCCATTGTTAGCGGGACGGAGGGAGTATAAATTACTCGGTTATTTAGTGGTGGTGTTTCATGATAAAATTCCCCCATTTTCAATTGATAAAAGTATGCCCACTTCATATACTCCCTCTGTCCCTAAAAGGATTGTCAAGTTTGACCGACACGTAGAATAATAAAGTAAAAACTGTGTGATAGAGATTTGTGCAGAGGATAGAAATAACAGGAATCACAAATTGATTGATTAATAGAGAAAGTGGCAAAGTTTTTGGGACAACCAAAAAAGAAAAGTTTGCAAAGTTATAAGGGATGGAGGGAGTATAAGATAACGATTAAAAGTAGGGGTGGACTAGTTTCGGTTCGGGCCCGGCCGGGCCTCGGTTCATGAAAGGGGAGGCCCGGAACCGGTCCGGGTAACCCCCGGGTTCGGATTGGGCTGGGCCGGGCCTCGGTTCATGTAGAATTTTTTTGGCTTTTCCTAATTAACCCCCAACCCTCCCCCTTCACCCCCAAACTACCTCAAATGGCCCATCATACCTAGCCCAACCCAAAAACTTAATAAAAATTCAAAAAAAAAGAATTTTTTTTTGGCACGAATCGGGCTCGAATCGGCCGGGCCGGTTCACTATTTAGCAGGATCGGGCCCGAACCGCCTACCTCCCCGGGCCGGGTGGCCCGAACAGGGCACCAACCGGTTCACCGGGCCGGTCCGAGACCGCACAGTAGCGGGCTGGTCCGGTTCTGGGCCGGTTGGCCTGGCTCGATTCCACTCCTAATTAAAAGTGTGATAAATGTAGGGATGGACCAAACCGGGTCGGCCCGGTGACGTGCACTTGTCGTGAGGTGCACTTAAAATAATTTATCAATACAACACTAATACGTAGTATAATGAAGTAAGGTTCGTATCCACAGGGAAATGACTACTTTTCTCTTATATAAATACTAACAAGGGGGGGTTTTGATTTGTTTGATTTAAATATACTAAGATGAACAACCTATATGAGTTTGATTAATAGAGATGAGGACTTGGTTTTGCTTTTATCCACTTAATGAAATGTTCGTCGATCCCGGTTATATCTTTAACTATCTTCCTCTCGAATACTCAATCGAGGAGTATATCCAGTTCATCGAAGGTAGTTATTAATAACGAGACGCGTTCATTAATAAAACTTACTACCGAGTTAATGTAGAACAAGCGTCGTATATTGGCTCGATAGCAGCAATAAACTTAAGATGAAAACGATCGAGATTGATAACCTCAACACAAGCGGTTTATTGGTTTAATCAATATAATTAATTCCCCTTAGATTATTAATCATGAGACGCATGCATTAACAATCCAAGTTTACTACCGTTGAAGGAACCGAATTAATAACAAACGTATTAATCGATTGATTCTAGTAATAATTAATATATGAAACAAAACTAGTTGATCCTTTAAGTAATGTTCAAAATATTAATATGAAATATGAATAGGAATTTATTAATATTCAAGGAAGAATATTAAAGAGTATGAATCCTACTATAGTTAATATCAAGATGTTAACTAATTGTCATCTTAGTAACACTCCCCAATATTAACATAGTGGAAGAAATAACTATTACTATAACTAATGTCAAGATGTTAACTAATTGTCATCTTAGTAACACTCCCCAACATTGATATAGAAATAGTATTTAAAGGAAGAATTAATATTCAAGGAAGAAAATTAAAGAGAATAACTCACAACTTACAAATTCATTAAGCTTCAAAGTAGCAAAACCAAGATGGAAGAGTTTAGCTCCTCATTTGGAGACTAAACATGAAGAAAATATAAAGAAAGAACTATTCTAGACTGAGCTTAGAAGTATATAGGAATTGGTTCTTTTATTGTGAAGGAAAGGCGTGTATTTATAGGCTTTTGGGAGCTGCAGGGGCTGATACCCGACCGGGTATATAGGATACCCGACCGGGTATCTTAGGAAATTTCCCATAAATTCACTTTTCTGGGCATACCCGATCGGGTATGTCGGCATACCCGATCAGGTATGTGACAAATCTTAACGAAATTTTGCTCCCACGATCATTTGTTCCCGGATTTGATTTGGACAATCGAATCAAACAAATACCCGATCGGGTATAGGCAATACCCGACCTTTGATCTTTTCCAAATCGAAATCTTTCTTGCCTCCTTGCACTTTCCTTGATCTTTTAAGGTCCAATCTTGATCCCTTGGATGATCTTTGACCTGTTTAGCTCAGAAAAGTCCTAATCTAAACAAATTACAAATAAATATGAAAATAAAGTATTACACCAAAAGTGTGTAATTTCCTCACCTAGAACTAATAAAAACTAGTTAAAAATACAAACATACAATCGGAAAATACATGAATATCAACTCCCCCACACTTAGCTTCTTTACTCGTCCTCGAGTAAAGTCAAATGTTTAACAGTTCCAAGTCCTCAAAAGTTCAACAATCAACCAGAAAAAGCAAAAGACCACCAAGGATAATATATGGGTTTTACATTGAGTGTTCAGCTCAAAGAATAATATCTTCTTGGGTTTCATGGCCTTCTATGCTCATCTCCTCTTTTCATCTTCAAGAGATTAAATGATGTCCTGTAAAAACAAATATATATCTCTCATATCTCTCATTTTGCCTAGGAGCCTTTTCAGGTTTTCATCCTAGCATCTCTTTTATTTTTTTCACTTCTCCACTCACTCATCATTTTTTTTGTAAGCCTTTTTTGCTTAGATTGCCCATTTGTTGGGTTTTCAACCTAACTAGCATTTCATTTTTTTTTGCGAAGAAAATAATGCTAGTTTACAAGGTATCAAATTTAAGTACGCACCGATGAGTGACTCCCCCTCACTTAGCTCGAAGCACTGTCCCTAGTGCTTGTCTCCATCATAACCGGGCTGACCGGTGCTCTACATGAGATACTCTCGTCCCTTGTTCTCTTTGGTGCCATTTTCGCTTGATGCTTTGAATTTTGAGTTACAAATTTCGGACTTGGGGGAGGGCGTAAGGCATTATTTTTGGACTTGAGTTTTTTGGGGGAAAATGTGGTGTTGATGGATATGGGATGTAGAGGGAAATGTGGTGAAGATTTTGGCGTTGGTTTGGAAAGATTTGGTGGAGATTTGAGGGAGTAATGGGAGAAAGAAACTTCGAAATTGGAGGTTTGGGGAAGATGAAATGGGTGTTTTGGGTGGCTAATTTGGGTTTAAAGACCATGTACCCGACTGGTAGACCTGCACAATTTCGGGCCGGCCCGCTCGGCCCGCCCATATAAATGGGCGGGTTTGGACACATGCTTTAGCCCACCGGGCCGGGCCCGGCCCAGCCCGTTTAAAATATGGGCGGGCTTGGGTTGTAATATAGGCCCGGTCGGGCCTAAAAGCCCGGCCCGTAAACATATTATATTATATATATTATTCTATATATAATTATACATTATATGACTATACGTATAAAACTTAAAATAGTTGGAAGTATAATTTCATTACCATGTCATTATTCACAAGTGTCATTATTTTCCATTATTTTCATTATCTCAATGTTTTTACTTGGTTTATAAATAATATTTGGTTTTCATTATTTGATATTTATTGGCATTTGGCAGAGCAGTCTGGGAGATCAATTACTTTCTGGTGAAATGAAGGAGTGTCGAGAAGTTCTTGGAATCTTGGGATACCAATTACTTTTTGTGTTCTACTATTTAAATTTGAACTGTAATGATATACATTTGTTAAGTCTTTTTGGAGATACTCTTGACTATTTCCGTTGCACATTGTGAATCTGTGATTGCGCTTTTAATTACGGAATATGAATGCTTATTTGGAATTTGGATGCTTTTTATTTTCCAGAATCGTTTTGTGTTTCGCATTTAAACGTATTCTTGTGTTCAAAATGTGTTGTGAGTACATTAATTATTTAATTGCATTTAAAATGTTGTGATGTTATTTTATAGATATTTTCATTTTTTTAACAAAGTTGACAAAAGGATATTTTCCGGGCCCAAAAGCCCGGTGGGCAGCCCGGCCCGCTCTCATGGGCGGGCTTGGACATATGAGGAGGCCCGTTTTACCGGGCCGGGCTGGGCCCGCCCACTACAAGTGGGCAGATTTTTTAGAATAAGCTCGGCCCGAGCCCGGCCCGAGCCCGTGTTTGTGCAGGTCTACCGACTGGGTACCCTGACATACCCGATCGGGTATGCCTGTGTTTCTTCAAAATCCGGGGTCCTACCCGATCGAGTTGGGGTATACTCGATCGGGTGTTTTGGTGCGAACATATTCCCAAAAAAAAAAAAATTAACATACCCGACCGGGTATATGGAGCTGCCCGATCGGGTACTTCATAATTTTCCACCCCTGAATCGACCGAGTATTTGGTTACCCGAGCTTCACCCTTTATATTTTTGTTTATACCCTACCGAGTAGTACGTGACACCCGATCGGGTATGGTGCCCCTGGTTTTTTTTTTTTGAAAATGCAAGAACACACACAAAAATGAATGAAAATAACAAAATATAAACTTGGGTTGCCTCCCAAGAAGCGCCTTATTTAACGTCGCGGCACGACGTTATTCACTTTTTTTTTTGTTTTATGTGGGATCATGAGCATCCCTTGTTTCATTTTTCAAGGCCCTATTTGGCCATTTTTCATTTTTATTTTTCGGCCTTTTCTAGTAAGGCCGAACTTTTGTTCTTGTCAACATCTCAATCAATGATGACTTTCTATGTTCAATTTTTTCCTCTTCTCGAAAAATTGGGATTTTATAAGGTTTCTCCAAAAATATCGGTTCCTGTGGTTCAAAACTATTTAAAGAGCACAGAGAGTGATCTTTAATTTGGTCTTTTATAGAGTCAAAGATATTGAACTCTACTTTTTGATCATTGAATTCTAAGGTCAATGAACCACTAGATACGTCAATTTTAGTTTTTGAGGTCTTTAAGAAGGGTCTACCCACATGATAGGTGTTATTTGATCATCATTTCCCATTTCGAGGACATAGAAGTCGACAGGGAAAACCATATTTTCCACTTCTACTAGCACATCTTCTATCACACCCTTCGGGTAAGTGCTAGAATGATCCGCTAGTTGAATAACTACACCGGTTTGATGTAGTGGGCCAAATTGTAGGGATTTATAAACGGAATAAGGAATGACATTTATTGATGCCCCTAAATCCAACAAGGCCCTAGGAAATGTGGTGCCCCCTATCGTGCAAGGAATAGTGAACATGCCTGGGTCGCTACATTTTTCGGGGAGTTTATTTTGGAAAATAGCTGAGACATGTTCACTAACCATAACCTCTTGTTTCTCTTTCAATTTATTTTTCCTTTTTGTTTTGCATAATTCTTTTAAAAATTTAGCAAAACGAGGAACACTTTTCATTGAGTTAAGGAGCGGAATGTTTACCTCACACTTGGCGAAAGTCTCATAGATGTCAGAATCTTTCTCTGGCCTCTTTGTCTCTCTCAGTGCCTCAGGAAACGGGGCTACTGGTTCATATGATGACAGTGGAGGGAGCTTGGCTGTTGTGACCCCGTCCTCCGGTTGAACTTCTTCTTCAGGGTCCACCTCCTTAATTTCTTGATCTACCTCCTTCCATGTTGCCTCACTACTCAACATGATGGCATTCACATGTTGTCTCGGGTTTTGCTCCGTTTGAGATGGGAGTTTACCCGAGTCCTTCGTTTCAAGTCGATTCACGACATTTGCAATTTGACTAACTTGAGTTTCCAAATTGTTAATGCTTGACCTTGTCTCATGTTGAAATTGTATCATGATTTGTTAAAATTGTCCCATGTTTTGTTGCATGGTAACCATGTTTGAGGTCAAAGTCCGGATCATGTCATCAGTTGACATACTAGATTGAGAAGATGAGTTGGATTGTTGAGGGTTTCCATACCTCAAGTTAGGATGATCCCGCAATCCAGGGTTGTAAGAATTTGAGAATGGATCATACCTCTCCTGTTGATGGCCTTGGAAACCCAGAGCGTTGACTTGCTCTTCTTGGAGTGATGGACACGAATCAGTGGGGTGTCCGGTTGATGTGCAGATGCCACATGCTTTGACCTCCTGAGTTTTTGGCTTTAGAAGAAGTTCTTTGATCAAAGAAGTCAAGTCGGCAACTTGGCTTTCTAAAGCGTTTGTGCTTGTTTCTGCAGAAAGAACTGTTCGAGTTGAGGATTTGCGGCCAAATTGTCGTGAGTTCTCGGCCAACTCTGAGATCAAGCTTGTTGCTTGGGAGGGAGTTTTGTTAACAATGCCGCCTCCACAAGCAGCGTTCACCATTCTTCTATCATCATTAATAAGACCATCATAAAAGTATAAGATGAGGTCTTGTTCGGTGTAACCGTGATAGGGGCAGCTAGCACATAGCTTCTTAAATCTTTCGCAATATTCATACAAGGACTCATCATCCTTTTGTTCAATGTTGCTTATTTGCTTCTTGAGAGATGATGAGATGGATGCGGGATAATACCTTTCAAGGAAGCATTTTTTCATAGCCGCCCATGTGTTGATACTTCCCGAAGGAAGATAGAAAAGCCAATCTTTTGCGGTCTCCTTCAAAGAGAATGGAAAGACTCTCAGTTTGATTTGCTCCTCTGTGACGCCATTGGAACACATGCTTGTGCATACAATATGAAATTGCGACAAGTGTTTGTTCGGATCTTCCCCTCATAGGCCATGGAAGGATGGCAATAGATGAATGAGCCCAGATTTTAGCTCAAATGTATTACCCTCATTGAGTGTAGGGAAGGTAATACACAACGGTTGTTGATTTAGATTTGGAGCGGTGAGCTCCTTCAAAGTTCTTGTCTCGAGAGCCATGAGGAGGGACTCTTCGGATTTGCTAGAGCTAATGCTAGCGTTTGATGATTCCTCCGAGGGTGTGTGTGGAAATAAATTTCTCAACCTCTCGAAGGCTTGTTCTATCCCCGGATTTGTTTGGTATGTGAGTAGGTTTATAGAACGGGTTTTTACCATATACTCAACAAAGCTCAGAAATAGAAGTAAAAACTCTTTATATTTTATTTATTTATTTATTTTTTTGATTTTTCTTGAATTGAGATAAAAGAAAAATAATTGTCTTTCCCCGGCAACGGCGCCAAATTTGACGTGCACTTGTCGTGAGGTGCACTCAAAATAATTTATCAATACAACACTAATACGTAGTATAGTGAAGTAAGGTTCGTATCCACAGGGAAAAGAATACTTTTCTCTTATATAAATAGTAACAAGGGGGGTTATGATTTGTTTGATTTAAATATACTAAGATGAACAACCTATATGAGTTTGATTAATAGAGATGAGGACTTGATTTTGCTTTTATCCACTTAATGAAATGTTCGTCGATCCCGATTATATCTTTAACTATCTTCCTCTCGAATACTCAATCGAGGAGTATATCCAGTTCATCGAGTGTAGTTATTAATAACGAGACGCGTTCATTAATAAAACTTACTACCGAGTTAATGTAGAACAAGCGTCGTATATTGGCCCGATAGCAGCAATAAACTTAAGATGAAAACGATTGAGATTGATAACCTCAACACAAGCGGTTTATTGGTTTAATCAATATAATTAATTCCCCTTAGATTATTAATCATGAGACGCATGCATTAACAATCCAAGTTTACTACCGTTGAAGTAACCGAATTAATAACAAACGTATTAATCGATTGATTCTAGTAATAATTAATATATGAAACAAAACTAGTTGATCCTTTAAGTAATGTTCAAAATATTAATATGAAATATGAATAGGAATTAATTAATACTCAAGGAAGAATATTAAAGAGTATGAATCCTACTATAGTTAATATCAAGATGTTAACTAATTGTCATCTTAGTAACACTCCCCAATATTAACATAGAGGAAGAAATAATTATTACTATAACTAATGTGAAGATGTTAACTAATTGTCATATTCATAACACTCCCCAACATTGATATAGAAATAGTATTTAAGGGAAGAATTAATATTCAAGGAAGAAAATTAAAGAGAATAACTCACAACTTACAAATTCATTAAGCTTCAAAGTAGCAAAACCAAGATGGAAGAGTTTAGCTCCTCATTTGGAGACTAAACATGAAGAAAATATAAAGAAAGAACTATTCTAGACTGAGCTTAGAAGTATATAGGAATTGGTTCTTTTATTGTGAAGGAAAAGGGTGTATTTATAGGCTTTTGGGAGCTGCAGGGGCTGATACCCGACCGGGTATATAGGATACCCGACCGGGTATCTTAGGAAATTTCCCAGAAATTCACTTTTCTGGGCATACCCGATCGGGTATGTCGGCATACCTGATCGGGTAAGTGACAAATCTTAATGAAATCTTGCTCCCACGATCATTTGTTCCCGGATCTGATTTGGACAATCGAATCAAGCAAATACCCGATCGGGTATAGGCAATACCCGACCGGGTACATGAGTATTTTTTCCAAATCGAAATCTTTCTTGCCTCCTTGCACTTTCCTTGATCTTTTAAGGTCCAATCTTGATCCCTTGTATGATCTTTGACCTGTTTAGCTCAGAAAAGTCCTAATCTAAACAAATTACAAATAAATATGAAAATAAAGTATTACACCAAAAGTGTGTAATTTCCTCAACTAGAATTAATAAAAACTAGTTAAAAATACAAACATACAATCGGAAATTACATGAATATCACCCGGCCCGGAACCGGCCCGGCCCGCTACTGTGCGGGCCTGGACTGGACCGGGACCGGTTGGCTGGTTCCGGGCTTTTAGCCCGTTTGGGTGGGTCGGGAGGGCCGGGCTCGGGCCCAGTTTTGGGCGAACCGGCCCGGGCGGTTCGGGCCGAGCTTGGGTCAATTTTATTTTTTGTTTTTTCAATTTTTTTCTTTTCCTAGGGTAAGGCTGGGTTTTTTGTGGAGGTTTGGGGCTGGGGGGTGAGGGGGGGGGGGGTCGGGGGATAACAAGAAAGCAAAAAAAAATAGACATTGAACCGGGCCCGGCCCGGCCCGGTTAGGCCCGGACCCGATATCAACCCGGGCCGGTTTCGGGCCCAAGAATTTGCAAAAAAAGCCGGCCCGGGTCCATCCCTAGATAAATGTCTCAAATACCTTCAAGTATAAAACATATCTGGAATACCCTAATGTCCATCTTCTGTGCCGCGATTTCAAACCTCCAATTAGGGGTGGGCATGGGTTGGGTCAGGGTGGGTAATGCAAAATAAAATGGAATCGCCGGTTCCATTATATGGTCCGCTCCGGTCTGGGTATTGCAATTTTCAAAATAGGAATGAGAAATTACCCGGCCTGTTTGAAATGGGTTGGTCTGGTCCGGGTTTTCGGTTCCTATTGTCTTAAAAGTAGTAAAAACTTACGAAGTTCAAAAAATCAATAATCAATAATATAGTACATTGACAAGTTTCAAGATAACAACAAACTGATGCACATATAACACAAGTGACAAGTTCATATATAAAAGATAAAATATTAAAATGATAATCTGAAATCCAAGTATTCTTTAATGTAATGCAGTCTTCATGTTCTATTTTGGTCATTTCATAAAAATATCAGTTTCAAACACAATTTATCTGAACACTCGAAACTCGAAAGTGATTAGCTCTTTCATACAGCAATAGAATGATAAATTATCTCAGAGTAATACCAAACACCTTAATTCAATATATTTGTTAATTTAATATTCCTACGAGTTTATAATACTACGTATTATATGCCATCATAGCTAATCAAACAGGTTCCTCTGAATTCTAATTACCTTATCTCAAACTAGGGTTATGGGTTACCTTCATTAATCTTACCTCAGTCGACCTCTTCGAAGTTCTCACACATACCCTAAAATGCAAAAATAAAGAGAAGATGAAGACTTACCTGAAGCTGAAAAATGGATCCTAGCATTGCAATTTCACTGATGCTCGGTATTATCTCCTTTCACAAACAATAATGGTCATCAATTACTAAATCCTATTGATATGAAAAGTAATAGGATCATGAACTGAAGGTAATCTTCATACCTTCAGTGAACAACCGATTGACCAAGCTGGAGTGTAGGACGATGAAAGCCCTTGTGGGCTGTGGCATGTGCAAATCATAATCACTAAACACACAAAGTTTGTAATATCTAAGGACAAAGTCAACTATTTATAAATGTAAACAAGACGTCTTTAATCACAAATTATTGAATATACGGTGGATATAGGTGTACTCTTAGTGACTTGACCTTATAGAGCTGAGAAACTGATCGAGAGACCAAGCTATTGGCTACTGTCTAATGTCTATTAGCTATGGAGTGGCCGTACGTATAAAAAATCTCACAGATTAAAAAACGGGATCCGAAAGGAATTCTTCATATCTGCTAGGATGTGACCAATTTCGACAAGACAACTATCATCACTGCTGAACGAGAGAGACAACTAAATCATGAACTCATAAAGTCACTGATAGATCGCTGATGGCTGAACTCTGAAGGCTTCAAGGCTTGAAGTCGTTAATTGATCGCTGAAGGCTTGAACAATTGAACCTTGGAGTCGCTGACTCGAGTAGGAGATTAGTCATTTAGTCGCATGAGAGACGGTTTCGGCCTAATGGGCTAAGTAAGTAACCTAAGTTGGCAGAGGCTCAAGTATTAATAAATAACTATACAGTATATATAACGGGCCGAGCCGGGTACCTGACATTTTTTCATTTTGGAATCGGCCCAGGTATTAAAAATGAAATACCCGGCCCTACTCAGACCCTTTTCTGGCAACAAAATGGAACCGGCCCGTTTTGGACCCGAACCACCATTACCCGGACCGGACCGCGGTTCCAAGACCCGTTTGCCCACCCCTACTTCCAATGCCTAAGGCTTCGATGAATATGGTAGACAGCCCTGCCTTCAGCTGGCCGATTCACCCTCTAGATCGTTGCTCCTGCCTCCAGGTTGTCGCGCCTCCGGGTCGCTCATTGCATCCGCTTTCAAGTTTCATGTCGTCTCTGCCTCCAGTTTGCTGCCTCTGTCCCCTTGTTGCTTCCTATTCCTCTTGGTTGTCGCCTGATGTTCTCTATATCTGTCAGATTTGAGGCGAAGGGGTTGAGATGGTGGTGTTGCGGCACTTGGTAGCTTGGGCTGGTCGGGGATTGCGACAACTAGTGTTTCTCAATAAGGTGGGGCAGGGTTGGGATGATGGTATAGCAGTGGCCATTAGAGTTTTTGTCTAGGTGGGGCACTTATAGGCCGGTGGCGGGGGGAGGGTGACTGGTGGCAGGGGGAGGGTCACTGGGCATTGGCGGTGGTGTCATTGGGGCACTGGGTAGTGGTGTCATTTGTTGGTGTGCAACATTAGGTCACTAAAGAGCGAAGGGTCATTGTGGGGTTGTCAGTCACTGGACAGAGGAGGATGTCGGGTACGAAGTCATAAGTTACTCGTCTTGCTCAAGACTTTTTTTTGTCATATTGATGTCAAAACTCATTTCCCCTTTTTTTATATAGGATTCTAGAACTTTTGATCCGTGTAAACCTAGGTCAAATAACGACGCTCTTCTTAGTCGAACTTTGATGGTGATGCATAGAGAATGGTTTGCTCCAGGGTTCTAGACTTCTAGCTAGTTGACCAACCCAATCGGGTTATCTTATGATATTTATTGTATGTGAATTGATATATGTCGTAGTCCCAAGTGGCTCTATTGGATTAAGTAGTGGCGATGAAGGAACACGAATTCTTTTATGTTACTCTGTGCTTCAAATATCAATACTCTCTTTTGTGTGCTAGATCTTTTTAGGTATGCACATGATAAGTCCAATCAATGGAAATAAAATAAATTTGACCTTTTGAATTTTTAAGAGGCAAAAATGTATTATCCAATAAAAGAAAGAACAATGGATAGTTTGAGTTGTACTCAAACATAAATGTGCATAGTTAAAAATTACAAAGTGCCAAAACATCGGTATAACTAGGTTAAACTTTTTCAATGTGAAATGTTCACCAATCCAGACATGAGTGTGTATAGTAGACTATTGAGTTATAATCCACATAAAATTTGAATCTATTCATTTGAGATTCTATGCAATAAGTTATACTCGAATCATGAGAAGAACACCATCTTCTTGGTCCAAAAAGCCGTTCATCGCAATGTT